ACACCCACCTCGCTACAACCTCCTTTCAGGTAGTTGTAGAGAGCGATGAGGTCTCCCCTCAGCCTCCTTTTCTCCAGGCTAAACAACCCCAGTTCCCTCAGCCGCTCCTCATCAGACTTGTTCTCCAGACCCCTCACCAGCCTCGTTGCCCTTCTCTGGACACGCTCCAGCACCTCGACGTCCTTCTTGTAGTGAGGGGCCCAAAACTGAACACAGTATTCGAGGTGCGGCCTCACCAGTGCCGAGTACAGGGGCACGATCACATCAGCTGCTACGGAAGTGAAAGCTGAGACTAGAAAAATCAGTCTTGTGTCTTTTAGTGGTGCTGGGATGCTGCATAGTTTTAAAAATCTTAATAACCACAGTTTAGAACTTCCTATTTTGAAGACTGAAACTGGGTAAAAGACTGTTTTGCTTGAAAATGGGCAGATTCAGCCAGGATGCTGTTGGCTTCATACACCTGATTAGTTATGTACTAAATGTGTTCACGCACTTTAGGAATACAGTTGTCAAGAAAAGTATCGCTCTGGCAGGCGAGAAGGAAAAAGGTAGAATAGGTCCGAGAAGCACTTTTTGACTTGGAAACTAAGTCAACTCTTTACAAATGCAGGATTTTTGTTGTCTAATACTGTTAAGTCAGAAGATGAATATAATTTTATTATTATTGTATGTTAAGCTAGCCCTTAATGGTCCTGACGAGCATTTTAGACAGAAGAGAGCAATCCTAGTGCATGAACCCTGGTGATTGCTTGTGACCTCGTCCTCTGTACGCGTTAAGCTCTGGTAAATAAATGACTAGGCCCAATGGTGTAAGTGTAGATTCAGTGTGATGAAAGAACTACAGCCCTGCAAAAGTATTCAATCCGGTAGACAATACGTGATGATGGTCTGTATCTCTCTACCTGCTCAGACGACAGATTTACTGACACAAGCAATGACGGAGATATCCCAGACCCTCACAACAGACTATCGAACTCCCCAGGGAGATTACCAGCGAATCCAGTACATCCCTGTGTCTCAGTCCACAACTGGCTTGCAGCAGCCTCAGCACATACAGCTACAGGTTGTTCAAGTGGCCCAGGTGAGTAACGCTTTGGGGGACTTGATGTGCTTTTGACCCCCTCCGTATCAAGCCTCTGCCTTCTTGGGGCTGTAGTGCTCGGAATTTTGTTAAGGAATAGTTACAAGAAGTGGTGCAGACTATTTTTTACAGATAAATTGATAGATAATGCTTAGGGTTCCCATTGTAAGCATCGTGTACTGGGCATAAATAGTCCTGACGGTCTTGATCAGCTTGCTGGAGCCATATTGATGCAGTCCTAATTTAGTTCTACCAATCTGGGCACCTTTGCTCGAGTCTGCTCTAGGAAGGTTTTCCAGCAACTGGAAAAGTGGGTCAGTGGGTGACCCATTTTTGCAGTTGAGAAGACTAATTTGTACTTCCTTGTTCTCAGTGAGCCGGAGCCAAAATTTGGAAGTACAGAAAGCGCTTGCTTTTACCCTTCCTATCATCTATTAGAATATTCATTCTCCATGACGCTCAACAGCCTCCTAAAAATAAAAACAGAGTGTAACTAGAGTAACCAAGCTGAGGAAAATAACTCGGGCAGGTGTAAGAAATTGCCGCAGCCTTCAAATCTGTTTTTCGCTGGGTGAAGCTGAAACTACCGTGTGTTTGTGTTTGAATCTGAAATTCCATGTTCTCTCTGGCCCCTCATTACAAATTAGGTTATGAATTCAGTTAATAAAGGCCTAAACAATGGCCCCAGTTAATATTGACTGTGGCTGTTCTAATGATACAGGAGCATGAATACCGATTCCTGCAGCTAATAATAATTTTATGAAGATCTGGGACTTGTAATTAAATTACTCCAATTGGTATCATTAGCAAGTGTTGCTCAAAAAAGCCTTTAATCAGTGAGAACTCTGAGCACTTGTCTTGATACAGAGCTACTACATATCATACTACAGTATTGGATATGCAGATTATACATTTTATAGGAAGATGCTTACAAAGAAGGGTGATCCAGTGGTAGACACTAATCCTGGTTTTCAGACCCTTTGATCCGAGTCCGGTCTCTGCCACAGACAGCTTGTGTGACCTTGGGCAAGTCCTTTCCATTGATACCGCTGAGATGTAACCGTCTCGGTGCCATTACATCTGTTGAGTGTACTTCTTTATCTCCCCGGAGTGGAAAGAGGGTAAATACAGGCTTGAACAAGGAGCGCTCCATGGCTTCACTAAGGCTCATACCCCATTGTTCCAGACCTTGTATCACAGAAGAGGTTTACGTGGCTGCTTCTGCAAAGAATCTGAAGTGTACGCCTCTGCTTTGATTTCCCCCCCCCCCCAGGCTACCTCACCTCACCAGTCCCAGCACTCCACAGTGGACGTTGGGCAGCTTCATGACCCCCAGACATACACCCAGCATGCTATCCAGGTGCAGCACATCCAGGTCACAGAGCCACCGCCAGCAACTCAGTCGTCATCGCAGGTATTTCGCTCTTCTCTCGCAGGTAACGTTTTCCCTACCAGTCCGCTCAGCTGGCATATTACATGCGCTGATGCAGGAGATAGTCTTTCCTATGTCATTTAAAGGACCACACATGAAATGACTCTCACATGAACATCTCTGAGATCATCAAGTAGTTCCAGATGTTCCTAGGGTGTATGGGGGTGTTATGTTGGGTTTTTGTTTGGGTTTTTTGTTACGTTTCAGGTTGTTTTTTTTTTCGTAACGATGTATACAAGGTAGAGATAAATGTCTGGGAAGGGACAAATTTGCAGCTTAAATAAGCTTAGCCAATTGAAAGATGTAAATGGAAACTGGCATTCCTCAAATATTTGAAGTTCAGCTCTTCATGCTGTTGGGTAGTACTTAGCCTCTCATCTCAGTTCTCTGCCACAGACTCGCTATGTAACCCTTGGCAAGCAACGTCTCTATTTCAGTTTCCCGATCTCTGCTTACGAACCACAGAGTGAAGCGAGTTGGAGAGGGAGGAGAGTTTTGCCGTTCTTGTGCTCGATATGCTATAGAACCCGCCGCCCGCCCCTGTGTTTTCCTTTAATAAGAAGGATATGTTGTAACAGTGCAGAGGCATGCAATCCTTAATACACTGAGAACAGTTACACCTTTTTTTTTCCCTAGGTTGGGGGTCAGCCTTTGAGTCCCTCCTCACAACAATCTCAGCAGGAACTCAGCCCCTCACAGATGCAGACGACTACATCTACACCAAACCAAGCCCTCCAGCAGCAGCAAGGGTCTTCGGTTCAGCACACGTATCTTCCCAGCACATGGAACTCATTTCGGAGCTATTGTAAGTGTCAGCAGTAGCTCTCACTAGTAGTCTGGCTAGTGTGTGGGACTAGTATGTGCTCCATTTCTCCAGCTACCAAATGGGATAGTATTTTCGGAGCTCATTAAGCTTCATGATTAATATTCATAGAGGTCTAAGAAGGCAAACTGTTTTAGACAAATGAAAATGGTTGTACTAGTTTTTCTACTTACTGTAGGTCCGTAATTATCTGATAGGTGGTTTGGGCAGGCAGACTGGGCTCCTTTATTCCAAAGAACTTGCATTCAGCAAGAATCCGTGTGTTGGAGAGCAGCTTGTTCAAATTTGGATGGATGCTTGAAAGAATCATACAGAAGATGAGGGCGATACGAAATGATTTCTCATGTCCAAGCAGCTCTGGATGGTAATTCTGTGATTTCTCGGGCAAGAACAGGATGTGTTGTCTATGCATGAATTGCCAAATCTGCAGCTGATGTTAGCTGGTGTAATTTTGTTGAGGCCTGTAGAGTTTTACAAGGCTTTACAGCACCTGCATTTCTATTCAACAACCACTGTTTCAGGCTTGAAATCTTACTGACATAAGACATTATATAAGACATGATCTTTCAAGGTGGTCTTTGAGTTTGACTGAAGGTCTTGATTCTTCAATTTCCGTTTTTTTAGCATCTGAGATTCAGATGATGACCATTCCCCAAGGCCAGTACGTGATCACAGAGACCGCTGTAGGTACACCGGTCACCACTGTCAACACAGGGCAAGTGAAAGCAGTTACTCAGGTAAGGAAAACAATCGTGGCCTTTTTTTTTTTTCCATTCAGAATAATGTATCAGGCTTAAAGCCTTCAGTTTGAAGGTTAAAGGAGTGCCAAAGTGATGACTGGGGGACAGAGAGAAGAGAATAACGGTGTACGTAAAGAGGTCCAGACTGTATAGTCCGAAGGGGCACTGGCTTTCTGTAACAGTTGTAGAGAGGTCCCCGCTGGGCAGAATCTATGGGCAAAACAGCTTAAGAAATGGTATGATGTGTTGTGTCATAAGTTAAGGAGAAAAGTGCTACTGTTCAAACCTAGTAATGTTGTAAACTTCAGGTTACAGAAGGCAGGAAATAATCTCATGAGCTTCAAGGAAAAGATGTATATTTTTTTTTTTTTTCCTGAAGTAGCATCATACTCCTTTATGTGGTGATCACAAATAGTTTTCTGCACGTAGCCATTTACAAGGCCCACGCTGTCCAGCCCCTGTATGTATGACTCCTTCAAGTTTAAAGTGTTCACTTAGTCGCATTTGCAGGGCAAGGTATGATTTAGTGGTATTGCTGGTCTTGAAAATATTTAAGAGTAAGCTGTATCCATTAAACCAAATTTCAGAACAATTTCTGGGAACGTTTTGATAGCTTTCTGTTAGGATTACAGAGTAAGAAGAGTGACTGCTACCTTACCTAGTAAGCAGTCCAGCATAAGGAGGCAGGCTGTTGTACTGCATTGATATTGGACACTGGAAATGAAACTTCTGCTAGAACATGTGAAAAACAGAAAAAACTTTCAGAATAGTTGTATTAAAAATTGCTATTTTAATTTGTAGTGATGGGTTAATTGTGTAATTAGTTTAACCATTTGTAAGTTAACCAAATGCAGAGTAGTCCAACGTACTTCAAAACAAAGGACAAGGGTTATGTTGCTCTCAAATACATTTAAATGAAATACAACTTAATTTCAAAGTTCCTTGTTCCTACCAAAATGTCTTCCAGCACGGCGACAGGAACGTTACAGACTATTAGAACAGAAAAGTTACAGAAGATGCAACAATTATTACTTATTTTTTTTATATTCCCCATGCAGACTCACTATGTGATATCTGAAGGTCAGCCTGATCTGGATGTCAAACAAAACCCGTCGCTCTCCAGCGAGGTACAGGTCGGCGTCCCCCAGCCACCCGCCCACACGGATACCTTGGAATCGCAAACGAGCAGTCAGCAGCAAACCACCCAGTACATAATCACTACAACCACCAACGGGAACGGCGGCAGTGAAGTGCACATCACTAAACCAAGAACTTTCTCAGCAGAACACGAATGAAGAAGCCTCGCGGTGTCGCTTGCTTGTACTTGTCACCTCCCCCGAAAGCCCAGATCGATGGGTATCCTGGAGCTCAATATGTTTTAAAGTATCTGCTCACTTAACTTCAACTAAAGTCTTGGAGCTCTTGTTAATGCTTTAAGAGGGTTTAAGTCCCCGGTGACCATGAAGAAGTACCCTCAAAATCCTTCTGGGATGCTATTTTATGCAGCTTTTAACAAAAAGGACAAGAGGAGAAGTGAAACCTCTGCTTGCTCTGGACTTCATTTTTGGCATGTCTGCTGACCCTTACTGTTCCTTCCTGGAAGTGTCCCCAGCAAACAACTTTTTATTTCAATAGTATGGGAAAAAGCTTGCCTAACTGAAGGCTAACTGGCAGATTATGTTGTATGTATATTTTTAATAGGAGCCGTTAAACAGGAGGACGTCGTGTACATTGCCAGAATACGGCAGAACTGCTTCCCATGTCTTTGTTTCAGCAGCCAAGGTGAAAGGGAATGTACCAGCTCAACGCGAGCAGACTGCCTGGAGAAAAAGAGCAGCAGCAGCAAAGCCGGTGGCTCCTTGCGTACGTGCGCGGGGATGGATGTAACAACAAAGCTGTGAAGATGTGCCGAGGCAGTCCATTAAATTATTATTTTTCCAACCCTGGAGAACTGTTTACATGCTGTCTGCCCTGCCCTATTTTACCAAGCAGTTCCAGAAAGAACGAAAAGTGCAGTCTTAAACCCATGTTTGGAACAAACTGATCGAAATCATAGTAGCACATAAGGGTAGTACGGAGGCACTGTTCTCTCTTTTTCCCCTCCAGTATTTGCAGGGAAAACGGCCTTTTTGCCTGTGAACAAAAAAGGCTCAGCTTAGCCTGCATAGCAGCTTCTGCTGGGACCTACAGATAGCTGTGCCAGGAGAAAGCGAGGGTACGGGAGCACACCCTGGAAGAGGCAGGGTGGTTGTCTCTGTTGCCACCTCAGAGTGGACGTATTTTACCCCTTGAAGACTGGATGGAGAGTTGGTTACTTTTGATTTTCCAAATACCTTGTTAACAATACACTGTAATTCCTTTGGACAGTTCCATAAAATGAGCAGCCCTGGACTCAGGAAACATACACGGAACATGCTAGTGGACCACTATTTATGGGACACAGAAAGCCATCTGTGGGGGTTGCCTGCTTTGGTAGACCTGGTCTATCTCAGAATTTATGTTACGTTTAGGGACCAGGAGAAAGGGAAAGAGAAGATTTATCTCTTAAGGCAGTGTAATTTTCTTTTTCTTACATAATTCTCCTTCACAGGTCTTGTTGCTTGGTTATTTAATGCATTCTGGGATTTGCAAGAATATGACTACAACTCCGTTGACGCTTGATGGGATATACTGTGTATGTCTAAACCTCCCTTCACTCTGCTTGAAAACTCATCCCAGAATGTCTGTGCATAATAGGATACGTTTATTTATAAAAACAAAAGCAAAGAAGGATGTTTTGTCCTAATGGCCCTTGAGACTGAAGAACTGAGAGAGGTTTTCTTGATCCGTTTTCTCTTGTGCCGCACCGAGTGTGAAGGCGGGACTCTTCCTGCGTAAGTACCCCCCCAGATTTAGATGAGGATTACCCGTGCGAGTAAGCGCTACAGCTGTTTACAGGTTGTGGTATCGGGCCTTATGCAGTTAAAGCTCTTAGACACGAGAGAACTTCACACTCGGACTGGACGAGAGGAAGTCTGATGACTTGCGGGCAAAGCCTTGCAGCAGGTATCGCTTTGGTAATTAATATATCTGTTAATACGGCGTGGAAATAGTGACGGTGCGTGGTAAAATAAATCAGATTGAAAACACCGGCCAGCTCAGAACTGTTTTGAGGTAGCTTTGATAAGGACTTGGTGACTTGCCAAAATGTGGATTAATTTGTTCCTGGGATTTGGCTTCTCTTGCTTGTACCACCGTCCTGGGGCATTAACGAGACCGGTGAAGTTAATAAGGACCAGAGCTCCCATTTAGTTAAGCGCAGCGGTGTCTTTGAATTCGGTGGATTTGGGAGCCCATCGACTTCAGCAGCGTGGCCAAGGGGCTGCAGTTCCCGCTAGTTCACTTGAAGTCGTGCTGCCGAGGGCTTCTGAATTACGACGTTGGGCGTTGCGACGTTGTTGGTGTGGGAGAAGAGAAGGGAGATTTTTGTCTTGGCTTTCTTCAGGCTGCTAGGTTATTTTATGAGTCAAAAAATGGCATGAGTAATAGGAAAATAGGAGATTTGGAAATGGGATATTCCAGGCGGATACTGCCCTACAGGAGCAATTTTAAAGACTTAAAAGGTCTATAGTCTGTACAGATGAACATCAAACTTTTTCCCCTTAGTGATACTGCAGATGTGGGGTTTAAAAAATATTTTGTTCTGTTCACCTTTGGAAAGGATCACAGACTGTGAGGACACTTGTACCTGCTAGTCAAGGCTGAAAACTACACGGTGTTCCACAAAAGCATTTTAAAACAGCCTCTGTGAACTCAACTCTTCCTTATCAAAGTTTCTACTCTGGCCTACAGCAACGGCAGCGTACTCGGTACCTGCGTTAAGTGATTCACGGTGTCCCAAGTTAAACGAATGCATCGTCGCGAGAGAAGCATCCCTGGAAATTGAAGTATCATGAATTTTCCTTCCGAAGTAAGGAACTACAGCGATTGCACAGTTGGCAGGGGCCCGCTTTTAGAAAGGCGACAAAAAAAAAAAAAGATAAGTTTGCATGGATTTTTTTCTCCCATTTCTGCAGTGCAGAAGGTGTCGGATTTATTATTATTTTTAAGCCAGAGCAACCCAAAGATCTCTTTCCTACGTAATGTCCCACAGGAGCTTAACCCTGGAGTCCTCTCGGTTGCCGAAAAGGGCCACGTTTTACTCGAAGGTGGGCATCGCTGCAGGCTCCTCGGCAGCCTGATGCTGTTCCTTGTAGGCGTTTTGGGTCCGATTCTGTATTTTCCTGGAGCGAAGAAGGAAAAAAAAAAAAAAAAGGCACCCTGAATTTGCACCTCTCGGACTGTTTGGGCTGTTTTGCTCTGCCCCTTATTTAATTGTGTATGTTCGTTGTACATTCAGTGACCGTTATCGTGTTCATAGTCTCGTGCAACCTGGCAGGTGTAAAAAAAACAAACAAAAAAACCCAACAAAAAACCCACCCCCGAAATTAATAAATTTTTTCTCTTTTTCTTTTTTTTAAAAAACACTGGCCCTGACCCGTCTGTTCACTGGGGCGGGTGAAACGGGGCTTCGCCGCCTTCGCGTTACAAACGTCGCTTGGCGTCAGGGCCTCGCTCGCCGCAAGGAGAC